TAAATTATTTTATTTTAAATCTTGTTTGTCCAAACACACCCGATGGATTTTGGTAACTCCTTTTAGTTTTTTTGGTGTAATCTCCGTCAGGAATCAGTTTTGGGGTGTATTTTTGTTTTTTTTTTTTACTCGATCAATCTCCTTCTTCCTTTCTCTGTATTTGTTTTCATAGCAAACCCTCTTTCAGAACTACTGTCCAATTCCACCTCTACTTCTAATGGCCAAATCCGCCACCAATTAAGGCATCTCTAGCCCTTCTCAAATTATGATCAAACTGCAGATTAGCATATTAAAACAATTCCTCCATTGGGAAGAGTAGGAACTAGGGGTACAAACGAGTCGAGTAAAATCAAATTTGCCCTAATCGGTTCAAGTCTCAACTTAGTTTTGTGAACCTCAAACTCGAGTTTGAATTAGACGAGCTCTCAATGCAAAACTCGAACTCAAACTTAAAAATAAATAAAATAATAATTATTTATTTTTTAAAAATAAACAAAATAATAATTATTTTATTTTTTAAAAATAAATAAAATAATAATTTTCTTAACAAATAATAAAATGTTAGGAATATAGATTAATCTTTCCTATGCGTTGAATAAATGACAAATATGCAAAATTTGAATTTAAAATTCAATTTTTGCACATATATTATAGATCTAATGGTGATAGTGTATACATTGTCAATATATATGAAATTTTACATGTATTCTAGGAATGCATGTAATTTTATTATTAAAAAAAAATAATAAAAAAATATATATATATATATATATATATAACCGAGCCGACTTGCGAGTTAACGAGTTAAGTATTTTTGAACTCGAGTTCAAGTCGAGTTCGGACTTGCGAGTAGTTCAATTCGTTTACAACCTTAGTAGGAACTTAATTAATATAACATAAAATAACCCATAGAGCATGAGCCAAGCTTATAAAAATAAACACCAATTGCACCGAAGTTGAAACATGTACCAGAATAGATTTAGGCCCTAAACTAAACCCACGATGACCACCATTATGAAATCTTCGTTGCTATGTTGTTGTGCTCTTACACGTAGTAACTCGAAGGGGCCAAGGAGAAGGACATTTTATGAGAATTTCTGGAGTGATGGGCCGAAAAGAGAAGGGGATATTGATAAGGGAAGGTGCCAAAGAGAAGGGGAAATCGACGACAACATCATGACATTGACGAGGACATCCGACGGTGAAGAGAATGGATATATCAATGGAGAAACTTGGAAAAGATCTGCTGTTTTACTTTTTTTTTTTCTTTTTATTTTAGTTTGCACCTCAAATTCATTTTTTTTTTTGTCGCAGCGGTAGAAGTCCTATAACCTAATCTATTTTGACCCACAGGGAAGGGGAGGGAGAGTCAATATGAGTAGAGACTCCATCGAAAAAAGCCAACTAAGGCTGCTACCTAGAATAACAATTTGGTAGGTTGAACCCTAACCTCCACCCCACCAAGAGAGGTGGTAGCCACTGAATTAGAGCTCTGTGGTTCACATTAAATTCGTTAATGGGCTTGAAAGTGCCAAATTTGGTCATAATGACCGTCGCCAAGTTTTAGGTTTTTGATAGTGATTGATGCATAACCATACAACTCAGCCAAACACCATGGATGGATACGAATACCAACCATACCCATTGAGGAGTGTCAAAACCCATTAACCAAATGGGTGGTTTCATTCTTACTATGAAAGTAGTTCCTAACCCATTAAGAAACTAGTTCTTAATGTGAAACTATTATGAATTAATTTCAATACATATTTGTTTTACCTTATGAGAGAAATTATTGTGAAAATAACAAAGAATGCCATATGTTAAGTGGATTTTTATCAAGAAATAATGAGTATTGGTTAAATATTGAAGTCGTAGAAATTATAAGTTTTGAATTCAAATCTCACTATCTTCTGTTTGTTTTTTAAGTCTCACCCCTCTCTCGTGGAAAAAAAAAATCTAAAAAAAGTATTGATTAAAGTGCTGTCATGAAAAGTTGAGGGAGAGACTGCAATTCAAAAGTATATAGGATTTAGTACAATTAAGCCTTAAAAAATTATAAAAAAATACAGGATTTATATGCGTGGCATGGAGACAACTTTCTGTAACTCAACATCCTACAGAGCAAACAGAAAATCTCCATCCTCGAGAGGGAGACCAGTTGGTCCTCCTTCTCATGGCCTTCTTTCTTTTCGTTTTGTATGTAATAAGTAAAGTTTTCTAATGATAGTCTTCTTCTCTTTTAGAATTACCTAGAAATAATTTTCTTTTCTTCTAGGGATTCCTAGTAAGAGTTTTCTCTAAATTTTTATTTGTTTCGTTAGATCTGAATTTTTTAGGTCCGTTTTGTTTTATCTCATCATAATATTTTAGATTAAAATTGTTAATTAGCAGATATGGCAGTTGGAAGTATGCAAAGATTTTCCTGGAATTATAGCGATTCATCTGACGTTTTAGTGTATTAGAGTTTCACAATGTAATTTTTATTTATTTTTCAATTATGCATTCTTCATATCTTTTGTACCTGTGCATTTATGATGCAATTTTTGCTATTAGTACAAATTTCAGCATTTAATGAATTTTTGATGTGTTTTATCAGAAAAGAATATTATAGAACACTTGGATAGCATTTTAAGATTTAAGGTTAATTTAATTTATCCCTCTAATATATACCTAAATTCTCAATTTATTTCCTGATATTTTTTATGCCACTTAATCCTTGATAGGATAAAATTACCCATTAGATGTGTATATATGTTAATCTTGCCTAATATTAGGGGATCAGTGAGTGTATACATGTGGTAGGTTAGGAAAGTATATCAAGGATGGTTATAATTTTTTTTATATACTTTCCTTATTTAATCTTACCTATCCCTTGTATTTATTTAATTTTCCTAATTAATCTTATATTTTAAAAAAATATAAGACCTGAAATACATTTTAACAAGTGGCCGTAGGGCACCCGTTAGACAAACCATTTTTATTTTTGCAGATATTACATTAGTTTGTAACTCCTTTATTTGTTAAATTCTTCTTAACATATTTCTGGATGTCCATTCTCTAGCTGCATGAAGAAACTATAAATATGGTTTCTTTATAATTAGTAAATTACCAATCAATTATATTTTAATTAATGTCATCCACTTTTCAATCTGAGAAATTAAAGCAAAAATTTTTATTCCATATCCTTATAATTAGAGAATTCAAAATAAATGATTCTTGTTTACAATCACGTTCACGCCGATCATTTGAACATCCTTTTTTTCCTCCAATAGATTTTTTCTTACTAGATTATATTCTTTACCATTTTTTAAAGTAATCATATATTTATGTATTATCTAACAAATCTACTTTTCTTCTTTGGTACTTTACTACCACAGAGTAGAGGATCAAAATTTAACCAAGATCTAAGATTAATTAAGAAAAGAAAGAAGGAAAAAAAAGAAAAACTTAGCGTATTAGAGTGGTAGTTTTATCTCTTAGAGGAATTAAGAGAGATCAAATAAAGTTTAGAGGATAAATTGCAAATTTGACTATATCATAGGAGGAATTTTTGTGACTAACCCTAACATGTATGATTTTAATTGTGGTATACCTTTCAAGGTTTGGAAATTTTAATTGGGAAAATCTATAAATAACGACCGACTAAATTAAAGAGGGTCAAACATATTTTCAATCTCAATATATTTTCTTTCTCTTTTAACGACTATTTTAGATTTGAGCCTAAAATTATTAGTCATCCAATTCACTTATAACATGTTGTGTAAAGACTAATCAAGTTTACATAAATAAACAAAAACCTAAATCAGTTTGTTATTAAATCACTTTAAATAACAAACTTACACGCATTCTTTTCTCACAAAAATGGCCCAAAATACTCTACTTGATTTGCTTGCTTCAAGAAACCAAAATTAAAAAAAAAAACCCACAATTTTTGTATCAAATATCAACCGCAGTGTCAAGGCTCAAGAATTTTGCCAAGGAAACTAGTAGAAAGTGTCCACCCAAGGGTAGATCTACATACCTAGGATGGCAATGGAGGCACGTGCGGTCACCCCCCCGCGGGGGCTAATAGGGAGGGGTTGGGGGGGGGTGGGGGAATTTTTTTTCCCCTGCTTAGAAACGAGGCGGGAGCGGGGAGTGTACCCCCGTCTCATTCCCCACCCTGCCACCCGCTTTAACAAATAAATATATGTATATAATTATATATAATTTAATTAGTTACAAATTTATGATAATGATATTATTAGTTATATGTATTATATAATATCTATTAGTATATATATATATAATTGATATTATTAATTATACTAATAATTATATATGTGTACTAATACAAATTATTAATTAGTTATACTAAATATACTAATATATTTATACTAAACCCTAATTACACTTAATACAATAACATTTTTTTCTTAAAAAAGCACAAGCACAATAATGAATTAGTGATTGTATTTGTGCCAAAAGTGAAAACTTGACTACTTTAGTTATATTTATTTCATCATGTTGGATTGTATTCAAATAATTTTTGTTTGATTGTTTTTATAAGTTTCAATTGTAAAATTACAATGAATAATAATTTGATGATATGTTGATATTTTAGTACTTGATTATTTGTTAAAATTTAACCAAAATAAAATTATATAATAAATTTTTATTAGGCTCGCGTGAATACCGCGGGAGAAGCGAGACGGGACGGGGGATGGAGCGGGGCAGGGGAGTTTGTAGGCCCCGTTGCCATCCCTACACATACCATTATAAAACTCTTCTTTGGACCAGGCACATTTATTATCCATGCATGATGCATCCTCTTCGGTAAAAGGAAACATCAATTCTTTAGCTGAATAAGACAATTCAGATAATCATTTTTTTTTAAAGTTAGAGATAAGCACCATGCAAAAGCAAATATAAACATCTCAAACTTTTTCTCTAAATGCCACTAGGTTCATCATTCATGCAACTGCAAAGTCTGTGACCCATTTCATTTAATTCTCCCCTCTCAACTAACCTTACCAACAGCCACTCGTTTCTTTGCTGCATGACACTCTCATGAATCCCCCCTGTCCTCCTGTCATCTAAAAATAGCCGAATAGTTGCCGCACCGCCTATTGAACCCAAACATCAATAAAAAGCAGAGAAAAAAGGGTACATACATATGCAAGTCATTAAGGAAATAGAAGTGAAGCTTAGTTATTTGAGTGATCATTAGGGTATCTTATTGAATGAATTTGTTATGCAGTTGTTGAGATATTAGCACAACTTTTGCTAGAGATTAAAGGGTTTTTTGAAGCTATGGAGATAGAGGTGGCGAGTGGTAGAGGAGATGTAGAAAGAGGGGTGTGGAGAAATGGTGGAAATGATGGTCACAAGGGTGCAGCATACTTGGTTTGGGAAGATTTGACAGTGGTTTTGCCAAATTTTGGGAATGGACCGACAAAGAAGTTGCTTTATGGGCTTCATGGCTATGCTGAACCTGGTAGAATCATGGCAATTATGGGTCCTTCCGGTTCTGGCAAATCCACCCTTCTTGATTCCTTGGCAGGTTCTTCTCTATTCCTATAATTTGGCAAATTTGATACTACTACACTTACCATGCATGATGTAATAACAAATTCAGTAATTGCTATGGTGGGCTTTATGTGTCCGAAATAATAATTTCTATATAACGATATGGAAGGAATTAAGAAAGGTCATGTAGTTCTTGAATTTACCTATTGAAAGGCATCAAACCATTGGAAAAATGAAAAAAGTTTTCTTGTTTTACACCTCTACTCAATTGGAACTTGCTAACATAAAACTGTTTTCTTAGGTTTATGCTCGAATTTGTTTTCTCTTCTAAATATAACACTACTTCTTGCTCGGAATGGAACTTCGCCTGCCAATATTTTGATAGTGGCAAGTAGCTAGGAACAAATCCAGAAAACCAGTTGCTTTCCCTGTTTTTTTTAATTTTTTTGGGGAGGATCCATCATGATGTGGTATTTCCTTTTCAGGGAAACAGAAGGTTTCTCGGGATAAGAAAATTCCAATTTGTATGCCTGGTAACTTTTACAAAGTAGTAGTAATAATAAGGTAAATAATAATAATAATAATAATGGTACACAGAGGGCTAGTAATTTACAGAAAAGCTCTTATTTGAAATTTGATAAAATCGGAATGTATTTGGAGTTTAAATTTGTTTAATCCCTATTCATAAATAAAATATTTAGATGTTAAGTTTATTTAATCCATAGTCTTTTTTTTTTTTACCAACCCCTGGTCCTTAGTCACTTAAGCTACTTAAAGTTTGAAGGCTTTCCCAATGTTGGAGTTTTGAAGATCTTTTACTTAGAAGCTCTTTTGATAGACTGAATAATTTCTCGCCTCACCTGGGTGGGTCAGTTGGTCACAGCCCCTCCTCAAGGTACGTTATCCATCCCCCCACCAGAATTCAAGTCCCAGGATTAACGTATTCAAAGAGAAGGGGCCTCTCATCTGGAACCGCAGGAGGATTAGTCGGGTCCGACTTACTCGAATCCCGTATACCTCCTACGTCTCTCATAGCCTGCTAGTAATCTATTAAAACCTCATATCTAGAAAATGAATAATTAGTGATACATAGCCTGAAGTCCAATTTCTAATGTGAATAAACAAAAACATAATTCCTACAAAATAGAAAAATCTCTATAATTTAAATCTGTACCCTATTTCTTAATTTTAAATGTTAAAATTTTCAGGGTCATAGTTTTGGAATTCCACCACCAATAAAAAGTTGTTACTTAATACATTTTGACTTTGACTTGTAGGTTCTGAGTACCATTTGCATGTGAGCTCATCCCTAATTAAATGAAGTGGTACTCAACACCTAGTTATGACTCATGAGGTGACAACTCCAATAGATGGGCCCTAAATAAATAGACACCAACCTCATTGTGAATTCTTGGGGAAAAGTATTTCAAATGGAGTAGTTGAGAACATAAAAATGGAATTCCACAATGTTGCAGAGTCTCCAACTGACATTAGCTCCAATTTTTGCTAATCAATTACAATACAATATGAGAGGCATTATTAAGTTTAAAATTAAGAAAATTTGTGGGTTACCAAGATTTGGTCCTTAATCACAATCTTTATCACTATATACTTTTAATACTGTGGAGTATGGACCTGTACCAGTAGGGACCCAGATCTGTAAATAGACCACTTTTTAATCTAATTTCTTTATTTTTTTCTTTATCCTCTTTATCTGGTTATGTGTGGTTGCTGGCTTGCCTTTGCCGACTCACATAAAAAGTCACAAATGCAGGCAATAATTCTAGAGGTATTTACGGCTGAGTAGTTAACAGAAGTACGGAGGAATAAATGAAAATTGTGACTAGTCCATGTCTCTTGCTAAAATTTCAAGCTAGCTGCTAGTCATTATAGGTAATAACAAAGAAATATGTTCATAAATGACTTAGGGTCGGTACATTGTGATTTGTGATTTGGTTGCATTCTGTAAAATTTATTTGCTGTGTAATGACATTATATTCTTATTTTGGAGCAAAAATTAGGTTATATACAAATCAAATATTTCGTATATTAAAATAAAGTAAATTTGTATCCTGTATACTATAATTAGAGGTGGCAAAATGGGCGGGATGGGCGGGATTTACTTGGGTTTAAAATGGAACCGAGTTATATGGGTTTGGGCCCAACCTTACCCATATGTGTTTTGGGACTAACTTGGGCGGGATCACTTTGGGATGGGTTTAGATTGATCCCGCCCAATACCCAAATCTATTTTCTACATATTTTTTTCCTTTAATTTATTTTTTATATAATATTTTTGATTTATTAAATTTCTTTTAGTTTTATTAAATAAACATGCAAGTGCTTTATACTCAGGATTATCACCAAAAATTGGATTAACAAATAAAGGAAAAGATAGATATACAATCATGACTATAAAAATTGTTAAAGATAATTTTTGAATCTAAGACTCCGTTTGGATTGGCTATTTTTTCAAAAAAATAAGTTTTTCAAATGCAATGTTACAGTAATATACAATAACTCAAAAAACATCCAATCCATATTAGTATATCAAATATTTCAAAAAATTTTATAGTAAAAATTTTTCACATACACTACTACAATAAAATATTTCAAAAACACCCCCCAAATATAATTAATCCAAACGGAGCCCTTGCTATTTGAGCCCAATGGGTACCCAAGCATTTTCCAAAATTTCCCATCAATTAATGGGTACAATTGGGATTTGTCCCATTTTAAACCCAATATCAAATTCTAATACCCATCCCGCCCAAAGTCTCAATGGACATGGGTAACCCATTGGGACTTGGGACAAATTGCCACCTCTAACTATAATAAATATACCTATCGCATGGACTTCACAGAAGGAGCTGAAATGACTGTTGACCTTTAATATGGAGTATGATTTGAAGGGTTTGAAGTAAGTATCAAGCGAAATGGAAACCAAAATGTATAGGAATTAAATCGTACATAACTCGTGCTATGCGGCATATGCATGATATAGGAATTAAGGCAATCAAAACACAGGACAAAATGCAGTTTTTGTCCTCAAAATTTGGCATAGAATTATTCTAATCCCGAAAGTTTGGGGTCCTAGTTTAAAGCACATTTAGGACATTTTTTTGCATTTTCTTTTAGAGAAGAAGGGAAATAAGGAAAGTCAGGATTGGGATTAATTTGGGATGCTCGAAGGTTTATCTTTACATTTTTAGTAATTTCTCTATTATTTTTCTTTTTAGTTACACGTGCGTGGTTATGTAAGTAATTAATTCTTAGTATTATGATTTTTTAATTTTAGGCAAGGACTACGTGACTCCATTCCAATAAGAATTGGAAAAAATCAGTCATTTGTCCTAAGTGTAATTTAAATTCAAGACAATATAGACCAAATTTGTTGTGACCCATACTCTTGGGACTAAAATCGCTCTTATGCCAAACTTTGGGGAGCAAAATTGCTTCTTCCCCCCCAAAACAAAAGTTGAGGGAACAAGATGGCACTTCATACAAGCTTGTAAGCTTAAAGCGCGATATCTCAGAGTCAGCAACAGATTAAGTTGTGGAGAATTGATAATGAGGTAAACGAAAGAGGTTCAAAGCAAACTCTAAACTGTCCAATTTGGTAGTTAAATCTTTCCGTGAAAGTGAAAATTCACCCTTTTAATAACCAAGCAAAGAAACTGGATCCATGCTAGTTCAAGAATATTTATGTGTTAATGTATACTAGTTTAATGACATATTAAATACCATGATGTTATAATTTTTTTTTTTTAATTTTGAATGAAAGTAACATGATGTGAAAAACTATTACAGTTTCTAGCAGCTATCTTACGATTAGCATTATGATATTTAATACAGAAATTTTCTGTTGAAACAAGTTCTACATATAATTGTACACCTATTGTTTCACAATGGAAGTTGGACATTGGACCTATATCTAAGCAACAAATTTAACTTCTTCCTCAAGTTGAAAGTGATCTCTAAATCACAAATTTCTTGTACAGAAGGAAAGCTTGCCTAGATTGTTATCAAGACTGCACTGTTAAAATAGTTTCAAAGCTCTTCATTATATGCATGGTTGTTTTGGGGGTATTTTCAGGAAAAAAAAATTACTATAGCTATTTTTAGGTAAATATATCTATGAGAAATCACATGCGGTTGGTAGACGTGATTGGAGCTTTTTTAGAAACATGTTTCTTTTTTGGAGCTTTTTAAAAACATGTTTTGAAGAAACAATTCCATCTAAACTGAACCACTTGGGAGTTTTAAAATTGATAGTAATACATTATTTTGTGAGTACATATTATACAGGCTGACTATATATATATATATATATATATATATATATATATATATATATATATAGCACATTCAAATTTTTTTAAACAAAAAATTTGGTATGCACTAAAGCAAATGTATTTATTTTGTCAAAAGGTAATTGAAAGAAGTATAGATTGCTTGGACAAAGTGAAATACTTTTACTTTAGTTGCATGTCATCATGCCTCAGTTCCAGAGAAACCACATACAAGAGTTTCATTTATACATGAGATATAGAAATATTGCTCCAAGAAGCAAGAAAACCAGACATGAAACATGTTCAAATCAGAAAGAGGCATGTAAATAAAAAGATAGAAATTGGAAAAAAAATTATGGCAATAGGAAGGGACATTCTTTACAAAGAGGGGATAGGAAAAGTAAGAATGTGCAGCAAATAATGGCTTTTAGGCTGTTATTTAAACTATTCAACTCTTAAGGTAGAGATGTCTGATTTAATCATAATAAGACATATCTGAATTAGCTTGTAACAAAGCCCTTTGGCATATAACAAAATGAATTGGAAGCGAGAACCCTAGCATACAGTTCTTGCATTGGGATTTATTGTTCCATGTTTAAGTAGCACATGTACATTCTTGAAATACGGGAAAAACGGACTCTATTTTTTTTTCCCTTGATCATTTACATCTACTTTCTTATAATTTTGTGCAATGAACTTGCATTTTCGCTCACTTTTTTGGGTGTTTAAGAACCAAAACCTGTATATCATTTTTGCAATGTCTTTGTTTAAGCATTGTATGGCGCCTATGTCTGTCTCTCTTTCTCAGTCACACTTGCTTTCCCCATTCATTTTTTTTGGTCCTTTCTTTTTTACTGTGCTTTTTGAAACAGGTAGGCTTTCAAGCAATGTTGTGATGACAGGAAATATTCTTCTGAATGGAAAGAAGCAAAGACTTAACTATGGAACTATTGTAAGTATGGTTATTAATTTATGCTCAGGATCGCATCCATATCCACATTTCAAACATGTACAGGATTCTTTGCAACGCAATGTTGGTGATGCTGATTTATCCTAATCTGATGTAGTGCGTTCAACAATACTTTCGTCAGTAAATTTTGATATTTGGAAGAGCAAACTAGAATCAATGATTTCGGTGGTCAATAAGTATTAGGCTCGGAACTGTCAAAATAAATTGGAGAGAGAACTAGAATTCTAAACATATACTCAGTAGTAATTCTTTCCAAGAAAATTAGACAAAGTCATACATGAAAAGAAACAAAAATGAAAAGCTTCTTCCCATCAAAAAGTGGAAGATGTTTAAAAGATAATTACTACATTTCTTTTTCCCGATTAATGATTATAATATCAAAGAAAGACTGCAAATTCACTGTCATTCTTCTCTTACAACTGAAAATACATGAAAATATGAGCCAAAGCTGAGATGTCATGCTAGTGAATGCAAAAGTTTCAATGCCAGCTATTGATTGCTGATGCACATTCATATACTATATCTCTGTTATGTGGAACACTTTTTTCAACGTTTCTTATACTTGAGATTACTCCCTTTATTTGAACAGATTTTTCTACGTTTCTTATATTTGAGTTTACTCCCTTTATATCCCTTTGTTTCATTTGAACTTTCCATTATTTTTCTACTTGGATATTGTACTTATGTATGGCTGGTTTTTCAGGCATATGTGACACAGGAGGATGTATTGTTGGGAACCCTAACAGTTAGGAAACTATTCCTATTCAGCACATCTCAGGCTTCCAAATACCTTGACAAAGGATGAAAAAAAAGGAATCATTGATGGAACAATAATGGAAATGGGACTTCAAGATTGTGCAGATCGGCTTATAGGAAGTTGGCATTTAAGAGGTATAAGTGGAGGGGAGAGAAAGAGACTGAGTATTGCCCTTGAGTTTCTTATACGGCCTCGTATATTGTTTCTTGACGAACCTACAAGTGGCCTTGACAGTGCATCAGCCTTCTTTGTGGTCCAAGCTCTTAAAAATGTTGCTCGTGATGGAAGGACAGTGATATCTTCAATTCACCAGCCCAGCAGTGAAGTATTTGCACTGTTTGATGACCTGCTTACTATCTGGAGGAGAAATTGTTTATTTTGGAGAAGCAAAGATGGCCGTAAAGGTCTGTTCCTGTATAATCATCACAGAAGAAATGGCTTTGTATGCAAGTTTAACTTCACAAGATGATGAATGAAATTCTTATCATCTTTGGTTGCTGAAATTTTGCTGAGTTAAAGTCTGAATATATCTGATCACTTTTTGTCCTGTTTACTTATGCAGACTATCTGAGTTTTGAACTTTTTGTCTCCAGTTTTTTGCAGAAGCAGGGTTTCCATGTCCAAGCAGAAGAAACCCGTCTGACCACTTCCTCCGCTGTATCAATTCTGACTTCGATGTTGTTACTGCTACTTTGAGAGGTTCTCAAAGACTACGCGTATGAGCAATAGTTTCTACTCACTCTGGTTTTTCCTTTGTCACTCTTAAATTTGTGTCTATTTGATCCCTCTATTTCTGGATCCATAAGCTTAGCTAGAGAATGCAGAATTTCTCTTTCATCCGAATTTACCAGTTGCTATTCTTTCAGCATTGCATTTTGTTTTGCCAATAACTTCTGGTCTTCTGCTTTTGGCATTTGAAACTTCTGTCTTTAGTCCTTCATTTTGCTTCAAGTAAGTCCATGATGCTGAAAGAGTTTTATATGAATTTCCATGTAAAAGTGCATGACAGATGGTAGCCATTTTTACTGACTTCCCTTGTACATTCCACATTTAGATGGATGTACAAGAGCAATGACCATTTCAGAATGTCAGTCCACCTATTAGTCAGAATGAAGAAGTACAGAATGATGTGATTCGCAACAATTCATATAATTTTCGCAACAATGTGATTCCCAGAAGGTTTTATACTCAAGATTTGCATACTGAATAAAATGTGGTAGTAGTAGATATGTGCTGTTAATATTCTTCAATAGAACTTCAATGCTTTTCCAAGGGGTTCTTATTTCTATAATGACCGTTGAAGTAGCAGTAAATGATTACTGGAAGGTGCAGTAATTGATATGTGAAAAAATCCTCTTTATCCTTTTTGATCATGCTACCAGACTGCCATGGTTGAACACCTCTATCAACAGCAAAAGGACGAATTTTGTTGGCAGAGTAATATCCGCAATTATCAGCCATCATTAATAGCAGTTGGTTGCTAACCTTTTATTCTCTTTGTACTCCTCAAGTCTAATGCACTACTTTTGTCTTCAAACATGAGTCTGAGATCAGCCCAGAAGTCCTTTCTTTGCCGGATTCTGTGTGCATGATTTATCTTCATTATTAAGGTGCTAATCCATACTTCACCTTGCAAGGATTTGGAGGATACTAATTCTTAGATTGCGCTCTAAGTAAAGTAATAAAAGAAAAAACTGCAAATGTGATGTGCATGTATATAAGATTTAATGCTGAACTAACCCCACAAAATGCTTGGATACTACTGATGCAGTGGTTCAGTTGAAAACTTCAGTTAATCTTTTATGGTATTTCCAATTCTAGATATGAAGAATCAAGTTTTTAATCTTCTGACAAGTATGCATACTAAACAAGGCATTTTTTGGCTTTTTGATGGCAGGAAGCAGATAACCTTGCAGATCCTCTTGGCAATTTAGCAACATCAGATATTAAAGCTATGCTTGTCTACAAGTACAACTCTTCTGAATATGCATCACGGACCAGGTCCAGGATTCAAGAAATCTCTACCATTGTAAGTACATTTAAGTCTAGTGCTCCATCTTTGCATTCTTGCTATGCATGATGAGTTTCACATTCAACTGGACTTTTGTGAATCTTTAAACCTTTCAGTATGCAAATAACTAGTAATACTGATATGAATATGTCAGGAAACTCTATGCCTAAAATATTGTTTTCTGATTCATAACACAGAAAATCATTCTGTTTCTTCACGGGGTAGAAAAAAAATTGCAAATATTAATATACTTAACTATCCTATCAAACTTTCACTAGAATGATTCAATGCAAATAATTAACATAATTGCTGTGTGCAGCAAGGGCTTGAGATTGAGAGAATAAAAGGAAGTCAAGCAAGATGGTGGACTCAACTTTCAACATTAACTCAGAGATCCTTTGCCAACATGTCTCGGATGTAGGCTATTACTGGTCACGGATAGGCATCTATATAATTGTGGCTATTTGCGTGGGTACTTTATTTTATGATGTTGGCACCAGTTATACTGCAATCTTGGCTCGGGGGCATGTGGCGGATTTGTAACAGGCTTTATGACTTTCATGTCTATTGGGGGTTCCCATCTTTCATAGAAGAAATGAAGGTGAATGAACCATCTTTTCTTTGAAAGAAACTATTAGCCGGTGAAGAGAGCTACATACAGGAAAAGTATCTGATCTAAAGTTTTCTCTCCTCAGGTCTTCACTCGGGAAAGACTAAATGGACATTATGGAGTTGCTGTATTTGTATTATCAAATTTCCTCTCTTCCTTTCCATTCCTGGCTGCAATTTCAGTCATTACTGGGACTATAACTTTTTACATGGTGAAATTCCGGACTGAATTTTCTCACTATGTGTACTATTGCTTAAATATCTTTGGCTGTATTGCTGTTGTAGAAAGCTGCATGATGATTGTAGCTTCACTGGTTCCTAACTTCTTAATGGGAATCATTGCTGGAGCTGGGGTTCTAGTAAGTTAACTTACTTAAAATTGTTCAACCACAGTAAATAAGTTACCTTGGTTTATTTTCTGGTAAATAATCAGTATCATAAATGTATATTCAGGGAATCATGATGATGACTGCTGGATTTTTTCCGTTTGCTGCCCGATCTTCCCAAGGTTTTTTGGCGATATCCAGTTTCATTGATGAGCTATGGATCATGGTCACTACAGGTACTCTGCAAATTAAATCTTGGATGCTGTTATTCCTGATAATGATAACATTAATCCAAAATGTGCATGAAAAACTATCAAGCTTGATATCGGAAATGCATCATACAGAGGAATCTAGTGTCAAAACTGAGGCAATTAATCATGTGTTACAAGTATTGTGTTTGTTCCATGTGAGAAATCTCTCTTGATAAAAAAAAATGTTTATGGTCGTACTTCTTCATTACATGGTGAGGAAGGGGTAACTCAAAAACTAAGAACATTTCTGACTATGAAAGAGCATTTCTGGTTGCTAGATTCAGCAAAGGTCCTTGGGTCCAATGAGACAAAATGGCAGAGTCTAAGATTTTATAGTGCAGAAAAACTAACCATGGATAACATTTTCTGAACCTAGCTCTTGGACATGCTAAGATGGCATAACACGTTGTACATCCAAAATTACAACAACTCTTCTATAACCGTGCAACTGTGGCTTCAGGACTGAAGATCTTTATGAAATTATTGGCAGGAAAAAGGATACGCTTGAATCTTTTTTTGTCAAGGCTTAAATTGAGCAGTTAAAATAGTGATGATTGCGTGATAAGTACTGGATTATCCTTTATACTTGCATTCAAGCTTGCACTAGAGTGTACATGTATAAATTCAGCAGTGATGTTACCGAACGTGCATCATATAATAATGGAAGAATTGAAACAAATGCATGCAGGTATAGTTGAGTGCATAGTAATGATATTTTTCTAGACATAGATCAGTGATAAGCATGGGACATGGACTTCTGTGAAAAATAAACAAATAAATAAATAAAGCTACTTTAAAGCTGTGACACTTGAGCAATCATTTTTTTGCAATCAATCAAGTTTTTAGGCATTCTACCTGTTGAATAACTTGACTGCTAGACTGAACCTAGATCTTAGATTGGTGAATCTGCAAAGAGCTAGCTCACACATCCCCCAAAGAGTATTTACATGTGGCTTCAACAGTTAAATCAAGTCAAAACATTATTAACTGCAGCAACTGATCTGGGAACCTCTCCTTTGCAATCCTTAATCACTGTGGATTGATAAATATGGATATCATTGCCAAAAATTCACAAGCTAAAGAAGCTTTAACCTGCACTTAAATCCACAGAATATATACTTTTGACATCTTACATTTTGTTAGTCAAGACCTGGCAATTGTTTACTACCAATTGAAAAATATTATAGGTAGCCTCATGCTGATCTAGTGATACAATGCCAAGGGTGTCCATGTGGATTCCTTCAGTACTAATTTTCCATTTCAAATGCCATGAAACAAGATCACACAGAAACTTACCTTGTAGGCATGTTGTTGTTAAGACATAAGAGGTTATCCTCAAATTGATAATTTTGGAAAAAAGCAGCATGACCTTATTTTTTTCCACAGAACATAATCATCAGACCTCCCGTGGGTTTAACAATCTTTCCACAGATTAGGGACATAAGTGGTTTGAAGTGGAATCTTCCTTGATCATGCAAATTTGATCTCATCCTTAGAAGCGTAAATTTCAAGCTCACACATTCCAGGCCTCCAAATGAAATATTAGGAGAAGTCTACAGATAAAGTTCGTCTAGATATTTGTTAAAAGTTATAGAATATACTTGAGATAAGGAGCTATACATGGAAACTAGGCAAGTCCAAGTGGACAGTAAATCTGAATCTTTGAAAAAATGAACCTTCTATCAAATGCCATTTGTGACAAATAGACAACCATTTGAATAACATGAGTGACATTAAGAGACGTTTGCTTGCTTGAACAATTTGTTCTCTGCCAAACATGTATATGTTTATTATCTACTCCGGCTATGGTCGTTTAATTTCTGCACGAGCACGGTAGAATTGACAGTAACTTGAGTGTAGAAGTTTCCTGTTACCGAAGGTAATTCTTCGTCGGACTAGATTCACAGTTGCAGGTGTACTAATTTAGACCCTATACATTACAACACAGTTTTATTTTCTGAGAACATCATCCTTTAGATATAGAGAAGACACCTTTCTGGGACCAGATATAGCTACTCATGAAACAAGAAGAATATTTCAAAGTTCTCTAATAATGTATAAATGCGAATACAGGGAGGATACAAGAACGATTTGGTTGGAGTAGTGTTTGATGGCCTCTGGCCCGGTGATCCAAAACTGAACGGCGAGGATGTCTTGAAAAACATGTTCGGGTTATCGCTGGATCATTCTAAGTGGTGGGATTTATTTGCACTCTACTGTCTCTTCCTCACTTATAGAGTTCTCTTCTTTGTTATCCTCAAGCTGAAGGAGAGAACTACACCATTTTTCCGGTCTCTATACGCGAAGAGAACTATTCATTATCTCAAGAGGCGACCATCATTTAGACGAAAGCCATCTTTTCCTTCCAGAAGGCATTACAATCTTCACTCACTGTCTTCTCAGGAGGGACTCAGTTCTCCAATCCCTTAGGATGATAAAGGAGAGAGTACTGGAAAAGTGTTACTTCCTTGTTTGTAAGGATTTAATGGTGTGTAGCATTTCTTCAAGAGTTTTATAGGAGAAAGGGAAATGTCAATGTTGATAAAGCTGTGCTTCCAGCAATCTCATATAGTGGCATATGGCTTTGAATTGTTTGTATACAAGATCAATTGTTCATGTAATTTACTTTATTATCATATCAATTCAAATAAAGAGGTTACAGAAAAGATGTCTTCTTGCAAGAAAAAGAACCGAATTGCAAGATCTCATGCAATTTACTTTATTATCATATCAATTCAAGTAAGGAGGTTATAGCAAAGATGCCTTCTTGCAAAAATGAGGATTCGAATTGCAATGCTTCAATATTACATTTAGCTCCGTTTATAAAAAAAATTACATTTAGCTCCCTATTTTGATTTTTGTCCACAAAGATAATATCAGCAGAATTTTGTTGTTGTTTTCCTATTCTTGTAACATAAAAAGGGATTACATTGACCATTATGTTCTCGAAGCTTTCAAACAAAACTTAAGAATCCATTTCCTCCCTTGCCCAGCGACCATCATCCACCACATCCAGCAGCTCCAACTCCCATCAACTTCTCTGTAAACCACCACCGAAGAGTGCATTAAACTAACATACTGATTTTTTCTTCCTTCATCAAAAAAATAATAATAAAAAGGACAGTAATGAAAGAAAACAGAAGGGGTAAGTGTGCAGTATAGTAGACTTTTCAAGATTTCCATTTTGCCTTTTGAACTAATTTTCGTGATAAATAACCCTCTAAACTCCTAAGAGCATTCACAATGGTTTACACTTTTTGAAGCGTAATGCACATGCTACGTCAACATTCCACTTTCTCCTTTTTTATTATACTCTCATTCACAATGGATTCCATTTCACAAGGTGTAATAGCATGGATTTACAATTAAATCAAACATTTATTTTAATAATGTATAACTCATATTCCGTAAATAAATAAAGTAATTTTTTAAAAATAATTTTGTTTTTTTAAAAAAAATTATTAACTTTCATTAAATTTTTAACCTTTTGAATTTTTTACATTCTAAAAAATAATATTATTAATTTCTAAGTTTGAACAATATATTTTTTCTATCTCTCAATAATTTTTATAGCTTGGTTTCGAATCCATGGCCAGATTTCACAACTTGGTTTCGAATCCATGGCCAGATTTCACATCTGGCCCACCCATTACATGCATCATTCTGATGATACATATAATGAGCATTACACGGCCACAATCAGTATCCGTGTAATGGACCTGTGTCATGACAGGTATTACACGCATCATTACACTCCATTGTGGATGCTCTAAAAGGGTTTTCATCTTCACCATTGCATCGCCTCTTGAAACTAAGATGGATGGAAATTAGCCCACATGAGAGACGAGCCTATTCAGAATGAACAATTTAGACATTTCCCCTGAAACTATCAGCCTTTCGAGACCCCAGCTTCTGAGTCATGATCTATTTCTTGCTTAGGTATAAATACTTTAAAACACTTATTTTCTCCATGCCTTTTTTTTTTTCAAGAAGATCAACGGTGTTTCCTGTGGCAGAGACACATTCAAGTGAGGATGGGCAATTGCCCCTTCTCAACCTTTTTTTTTCTTCGAAAAGATGATTAAGGGTGTATCCTCGCTTACTATTGGCAGAAGCACATTCAAGCGAGCGTGGGCAGTTGCCCCCTCTCAACTTTGAAGAATTTTCAAAATTAGGTTGAAAAAATTTTTAATTTTCAATCTTGTCCTATATTTATAACTCCTAAAATTTCTAAAATTTCCTATATTCCTTTACTTTGGCCCTCTAAGTTATTGAAGTCTACAATTGTCATTTAGTTTATAAATGATGGCATGTTTGAAATGAAACTAAGTACTAGTTGAAAATTTAGGGGAAAAAAGTGATTTTTAAAACTTTTTGTACATAAAAATAAACATAAAAAATTTAGTTGTCACCGTAGGAAAAAATTATCATCTAGTTGTTATCGTCATATAACACTATATAATTTTACAAACTTCACACAACTGTCATATTGGTTGTTAAAGTTTTTCAACAAAAAATTTACCTTAAACATAATTGTCCTCCTAACATTGGGTCCTAATTCCGCACTATTACTTACCCTTTTGATAACTCGAACCCGTAACCTGTTGATTACAAGTAAAGCATATTATAAACTAGGTTGTGTGTTGTTGTCCTCTCCATGCCTGAACTGTCTCTTTGTGTTTTTGATATTTTGTTTCCCTATGAATACAAGTTTGTGTTGGCTAACCTTTCTGTTTGTACATTAAACTTTGTTTGTTTTTCCATTTTTCCTTGGAACGCAGCGAAACCTTCAACATATTGGTGCTTTTATTTTTATTTTTATTTTTTTTGGTGCTTTTATTTTAGTTTGGCTATCAAGATTTGAGACTTTTCTTTTAAATTTAGCTGTTGATTTTGAAATTTCTTTCAACCAAATTGAAAGAATCATAAAGAAAAGTCGATCTTTGCAATTAATTTTCTTACTAATTATCTTAATGTTGAGGAATTCATGATTGGTTTTAGTTTCGAGATGTGTTACACTCTCTAAGATATGACTAATATACATAAAACAATAAAACATTAAAAAGCTAATAAAATGGTGGATTTCATGTGAAACGTCCAAAAGTGTCCATTTATCACAGGCTTGCTTCTCACGTGGGCTAACTTTCGTGTATCGTAATACTGAGAGTTAACAAAGCAATCAAATGAAGCACTTTTTAGAGATCAGAAGGATGTTTGACACGAAAATATAGTTTAGTGGATGAAATGAGAATTTTGAAAAGTTTAATGGCCTACTTCACACTTTATGAAAAAAAAAGAAGAAGAAGAAGAAGTAGTAGTTGTTTCAGTGAAACAAAGGTTTGCAGAACAATCCTTATGTGTAATTAATAGCCTAAATCATACAGATTTGTAGTTCAAATTGTCGACATGCGCTTTATGTTTGTATGGTTAATTTAGAGAAAATTCCAAACTAAGCCTCCAAAAGTACCTTCTCCTCACTTTGCCCATAAATATTGAAGTGGATCAATTTTCCCCATATCCCATTCAGTTTATGCCAATTAGGCACCATCAACATAGAGACCCAATCTTTCTCAATACGTAAGACGCATTTGCTATTACCACAAAAACAAGTCGGACTTGAATACGTTTCTAAATACCTTGAGTCTAATCAATATATGTACATACAACTATTGCATGTATGACTATGTTTTTGTTTTACCTCCCACCTGTACCCGTATCGTTCTTATCTCCAACTAAGAAATTCAATATTTGAATTTTGAATTTGACAGTATGTACGATTGATTGAAAAAAAAATAGTAAAGAAATACAAGATTATATATAGAACAACTTTTTAACCTCTTCCATATGTAGACTGAACCCTTAATCTTTTAGCCTATTTTTTATGGTTAATATAGGTAGAGGATATGAAAGAATCATTATCTATTTAGTTTTTTTTATTTATCTTTTTTTGGGTAAAATGCAGAAGAGTTATATGCATTGGTGAGGGGTAGGCTGATGACCGCTCCTGAACTGTTCACGGCCAGATTTTGGCCAAAAAAAAAAATGTGCGATCCAAATCACTAGTTGTATATTGATTTTCACATCGTGTGTGGGACTTGCAAAATTTTGTACTAAAGTTACACGTTGTGTAAACAAAATTACGCGCTGTTGAAAATGACCAAAACCAACCGTTCCTGCCGTGAGTCCTGTATGCATATAAGTGCAGTCAAGTTTGACTTCTTTGGAAATGATTTGAGTCATTCGACAGTAGCACATGCATCTTACATGCAACAAATTAAAGAGAAATTGGATCTGTATGCTGATTGCACCTAATTGGAAAAAATCGAATAATGCAAGGGGAGATTTGTGGTTTTAATACTCAAGGGAGAAATTGAGGAAAAGGTATTTTTGGAGGGTAGATTTAATAACTAACCCCTATTTCTATTTCATATTTGTTTGTCCGTCCCATTGTGATGTCCATCCAAATTTCAGCCGTCTATCAAGATTTAATTATCGTTAATTCATATTTCAGTGAAACCTGAAGGCAAGATGAAAGAAACCAGGACTTAGAAAAATCAAGGGGTTTCACTATATGGTATTCGTTGCGACAACAGTTGTTTTTTTCTTTTTAAATTTTTTTGGTGGATGGGAATGTAAATGCATGTTTTTTTTTTATTGCTTTTCTTTCTTTCACTTCTAGACCCTAGTATTTGTAATGGGTGCAGTTTTAACTTTTGGATCATAACGTCAGCAACAAAAATCCATACGCAATTTGGATTGCCGGCTACTTAGTTGAATATCCAGAATCAATCATTTAGCTTTGAATATAAGGACGTATTTTCGTGCTCTATTTCATCTTTCTTCTTTTAAGTCATCTAAAAAAGAATAAATATGAACACGAGAACGTTGACCAAAAAATAGAATTGGCTAATTCGCTAAGAGAAGAAAACCAATTGCTTGAATATCTTTAGGTTGCGTTTGAATTAAGAGATTTGACGAAAATTTTGAAATTTTCTTAAATTCCTTTAATTGTTTAGACTAAGTAGGAGGCATTTAGATTTGCAAATCACCAATTAGTATTTCAAAGTCCATCTTGACTTCTTAAGACGAGGACAAAATTAGGTTTCAATGTAAATGCAAATGGAAAAAAAAAGGAAAAAAAAAAAAAAGGAAGGATAAGAGAACATGATCAATATTCTTAGGCATGCATGTATTGATCAATCCAGCAAGTCTAAGAGATAATGTAGGTCATGTATTTTTTTAATTTTCTCAGCGAGGAGGTAAGGCTTTACGTTCTCCTCTTCTTTTTGTGGTTCATTTTTTTTTATTAATAAAATAGGTAGTCAAACTCTTCGGTCAGATATGATTGACAATTAGTTAAAAAAATAAAAAAGTACCACAAAAAACAGAATATTATAGAACTCATAAAACAACACTATTTGATGGCTTGGCTTCTGATTATGAAGTATTCAGCCGTTGCTTCAGTGTCAGAGTTGTTGCTCAAAAGAACCTCAAAATACTCTTTGCAATGGAACCCGCTAAACAATGGGGGATTGCTTGGACTAACAAGTGATTTTGCAGGTTCAATCATACCATGAGAAGCAAAGTTCACAGAGTTAGCCAGTGATGTCCTAGAACAGGTTTCAATTTGTAACCACTCGATCGATGCACTGCACTTCTTAGCTTTCCATTGTAATTACCTGCAATCGTGATCCAAATCATATCTATAATTCTCAGATATTAATTTCACAATTGTCCCATCTGACAAATAAGAATTTTTTGTGTTCCATCTTCCAATGTCTTTACTAGCTGGTCCAATAATTCTTATATTTTTTTCCTTAAATGTTCCTTTTCAAGCCGAATAATTATACTTGAGCTTGGATTTTTGCAGTTCAAACAATTAATTCTCCAGAGTGAGTGCGAGTTGTGGCCATAATTAGTCGGAGAGATAGGTCATTGAAAAGGAAAAATAGAAAATGGAATACGTGGAGATCATGCAAAGGTGACTCGTGTCTTGACAAGTGTCATAATATTCGTAATAATAAGATGACAAGTCACTTAAAAGGCTGATGAGTCATTAATACATTATAAAAAATGTTGAGTAGATTTCAACTTGACACATCATTATGAGATCTTCATCTCGAGTTCTCCACATGACATGAAGCGGTGATTATATGGCAAATTGTGCAAAGGTAAATAAAACTGGGAACTGTCCAAGGAAACAAGTAACTATTATTTAGAACATCTATCTTTAAACTACCTTTTTCCGTTGGAACTTTTCCTAACTCAAGCATCAGAGTGTATTCCGGGGGAGAGAGCCCCGCCTTCCACTCATTTCAGATAAATCCAAGGAGGTTCGACCATACAACTACGTGCAAGGTTCTGCTTTTCCACTCAGGTAATTTATGTGTACTTCTAGAGAAAAAACATATGTTGATGACAAATCCATTTGGAAGAAGCTCCACACCAAGCCAATGCCCATCCTTGAATACTTGCAGTCCATAAATATGCTGTGGAAGTACGGTTATGAGGTTACCGTCATGGTGTCCAGCAATTACCAAGGCTGAAGTCGGGTCTGGACATTCAAGGTAGCTGTGAACCATTAGGAGTATATCATAGTTGTCAGGATCTTCCTTAGTCAATCCTAGTCCCCCAGAGACAATTTGCAATACTCTTTTTTTTTTGTCAAAATGGCATTGTATTATATTTTAAACTTGATAATACAAGTTTTAGTTACACAAAGGAACAACTGTCCTATAGTCTTTTTGTGCAAGATTTTTGATCCACACGGCGAAGCTAGTGTCCCATTTTACATCATTAACTAGCTTAGTTGCAAATTTAGCTAGTCTATGACAAACATCATTTCCTGATCTATGAACCAAAGAGAAATTGCATTGATCAAACAGCTCTCTCAACTCCAGTATCGTCTCAATGTTTCTGTCCTTGCTGTTACCTGATGTGATTTTCTCTATTAGCGCTTTGCTGTCAGACTGAACTTCAATTCTTCTCCATCCAGCTTCCTGTCCTATCAGTAATGCTTCCCTTATTGCTAGAGCTTCTTCAATGTAGGAAACAAACCCACAGGATAAAATAATGTAAGCGAATCACACAGTCAAAGGAATAGCTTGGCAGCGGAATGTTTATAACAAACGGAACAGCTAAAGAAAGAAACAAAAGGTGACAAAGGCTTCAGGAGGCAAACTTCTCAAATTGTTTCCAATTCTTGGCTACTTTACATATGACACTCACATCAGACTAGTACTACACATATGTATATATAGGCACCAAGTCTCCATAATCAGAGACCGCATTAGAATTGGAAATCAAGCATCCTAGTTAGACTTGAACTCAATTAGCTAGACGTAGCCCTGAACTATACTAATTCCAACCAACTCCAACTAACAAATAATAATCTTGATTTAATTCCTACATTCAATGAGGGGCTCACCCCTTTTTCGCTCTTGCACTACACAGGCCTTCACCAATTCCCCTTTGGAGTCTCTTGCTACTATTCCTCTTCCTGTTTTGTTCCTTTGCAAGGCTATAGCAGCATCATTGTTGACTCTAATTATTCCTTGTTTAGGGGGGTACCAGTTCCTGTTCTGATGAGGTTGAGTTGTTTCAGCAATGCACTTTCTGTCATTTACTTCCTCAGCTTCCTTGAACTCCAACCATTCCTGTTAAGCCTTCTATACAGTGTACACAGCTTAGTTCCTCCCTTGCTTCTTGTCCATGTTGATTGTCAGGCCAATGTGATCTTGACATTACTCTGATACCCAACTTTCTCACATCAGTTGTATATGGTCCTATGATCTCTCTGCAAATTGAAATGGTATTTATTTTGTCCAGAAATAATGAGTAAAGGAATATTAGTTCATGGTCTGCAGATAACAGTAAATAAAAGAAGCCAGGAGATGATCTTTCTATTCACCACAAAAAATAAAAAATAAAGCCCACATCTTAGTCAGTACACATGTTCCTCTATATACCTTAATCTGCATGCTACGATCAATGTATGAAATCCATCCAAAGAAAGGTAATTGTTTGCTAGAAAATCAGATTTTTTTTCTTTTGACAAGACAGAAGAATCTGAAATGTAGGTTCCTTCAATTGACACTGGAGTAGAACAATATGGTATCATGATATATCAAGATAATCTGACTAAAATTCGCTGGCTCAATAGGAGATCAAAATTCATCATTTACTGGTATCGTGCTGGTGTAAACCATGCATCCATTTCTATAACTTCCAGAGGTGGTGTTAACCATGCATCCATTTTGTGCATCTTGATCAACGAACTTTGCTTTCTCCTCAGCAGGCAGGGAAAAGAACTCTCTGCCCACATTCACAGCATCAGTCATCAACTCTTCAGATACTCCGTGATTGATCACCTGTTACATAATCATACACAGGTACTAATTAACTTTCGATTGAAATCAACATAATTCATGTTTCCAAAACGTGAAAGTTCAAAGCTGAAAACCTGGAATAGGCCAAATTCTTGACTAGCTTTCATGATTTTCTGAATTCTATTGGCTCGATCTTCTTCTCCTAGATCAATCACTGGTATGTCCTTGCTTATTGGAACAGGCATTCCAGGCCTTTTCTCTACAGGTACAATGTAGTTTTCTGGCAAAGATTTTAGATTGGACGACCAACTTGAAAGAAGAAATGCCATGTTTTCTCACTAGAACAGCTAAATGCTGTATTTTGGTGGCGTTGTACCGCAGATTAACAGGTCTTATATAGCCAGAAAAACTGCGCTCATCCAACTATATGCCAAAAGAGAGCTCAATGAATGTAGAACAGGACAAAAGATTCTTTTTTTTTTTTTTTTCGGTTTAGTTACAGGACAAAGAGTAATCGCGTTGTCTTTAGTTACCAGATAGTCACCAATGAATTAAGTGTAGTATTGAATTGCAAATGAGCTGATGAACATGACATTAGATGGATGATGTACAAGTGATCTAACAAAAACTAACAACTTTTTGTATAGTCATAAGCTTATCTAGTCTATGGTTGCTATCTATCGTCTGCAATTGTGAATTACCCTTCAACATAGTTTATTGGCAAAGTCTAAATATAGAAAGGAATGAATTCCATTTTGGACCTTAAATTATAAATACACTTTTACTTTAGTCCTTAAACTTTAATTTGGACACTTTACCCGCTAAAATATGAAATCCTTCCCTCTTTATTCCTTAAACTTTAATTTTGGACTTTTTACCCTTTACAATATGAAATCCATTAACTTTGAGCATCATTGCCTGTTATTCCGCTAGTTTTGATAATTCCGTGATATGGATTTCTTACTTTTGGAAATAAAGTGTCTACTGATAAGCTTATATAGGCTATAGTTGCGATCTGCTATCTGCAATTGTGAATTGCTTTTCAACATAGTTTCTTGGTGAAGTCTAAATAAAGAGAAGGGTTAATTACAGTTTGCCCTCCTGAATGTGGAGGTTTTGCCCCCTTGAACTCAGAGATAGACACTTTACCTCTGTAATTTTGGATTAAAGATACTTTGTTTGACCAAAATGACATGAAATGACTAAATTGCCCTTCAAATGAGATCTATTTAGATCATGTATCCTTTCGTAAGAGAAAAACATAATATCTACATAATGAATGGAAAACTTATGGTATAAATAAAACATAGAAATAACAGTCATAAAAAATGAAAAACTTGTAGAATAAAAGGAGTGAAAATAATTGATCAGCGCAAAAGCTTAATATTTTTAAAAAATTGAAAAAATAAAATGACTTATATATTAAAAGAATTGAGAAAAATTAATATACACAAAAAAAATATGAAGAAAATAATGAATCATAGTTTATGCAAGAAAATATATATGAGAGAAAAATTAATATATAAAAAATTCACGAAATATAAAAATACTAATAGTTTAAAAAGAGGAGGAAACAATTTGATGAGAGAAAATTTTAATATCTAAAAAATTAAGAAAATTAAACATACTTATAGTAAAAATACAAGGCAAAAAAAAACTTGACAATAGAAAATTTTAATATGTAAATTAAAGTCACGCAAATTAGAAATATTCATAGTATAGAAGAAAGGAATAATTTGGGAAGAGAAAAACTTCAAATCTAAATAAAATGAAAAATCAAAAAATTGAACTATTAAAATGAAAGAAAATGTTTGATAACTAAACACTTAATATCTCAATAAAAATTAACATTATTCGAAAGATTCACAACATGAACGCAAGGAAAAAACTTTGATGAGAGAAATAATTAACATGTAAACGAAAATCATGAAAAATATAAACACTTGTAGTATAAAAGGAAGGAAAAAGAATCTGAGGAATGAAAAACTTAATATCTCAAAGAAAAACAAAAATAAAAAAGAATATAATATATGCATGAAAGAAAAAACTGATGACTAGAAAATTTAACATTTAAATAAAAACTACTCAAAATAAAACACATTATAACAATGCAAGTAAAAGCATGAAGTATTGGAAGGATAGGATTGTCGAAAATTTTCTTCTCAATGTAAAGTAACATTCACATTCAAGGGGTCAAAGTACAAGTTAGTCCCACATTCCGGGGGCAATCTGAGATTAACCATAACAAAGGCAACAGGAATACAATAACTATGAGGATCGCCTTACATCAATTGTATCTCATGTCAATTTGACAGCATTCATATTCATGTTATAAAGCTTAATTTGAAGTATAGCTATTTAGCCTCAATCAAAATTTCCATCTTACCAATTTGGTTAAAATTTTTAAACTTGCTTTTCCTTTTGTCTTAGTCTGCAACAAGATGTGTTTGCTATTATCAAAAGTTCGTAGACACATAAAGTTTAAGGGTAATTGATCTTGATTTGGAATATACCATGTTACTAATTTCTTTAAAACTTTATTTTCCTTTTGTCTTACTTTTGTAACAAGATATGCTTGTTAACATCAAAAGTTTGTGGATATTTACTTATTGCCCATTACTTGCCTAACTTCAGAAGTCCCCAAGTATTCTAAAACTTCTTGTCACCTAGCTGCAGGCCTTGTTATTCTATTATCTCCATATCAATAGTCAATTCAGGCATTTTGTTTCAATTTGATAATCCATCTTTTCTCCATCATCCTCCAATTATTTAGCTGTTGTACCTCCAACTTGTGCACAAAATTTTGACCCCACAGACAATAAGAATCAGGTGGATGATACATCAAGAATGAATCAATCTTATATTGTTATTTATGTGGATGACGTACAACTTGGACAACAAGCTCTATACCCAATTTTTGCTTTATTTATTATATTTTGTCATTATCATCTCAAGCAACACTTGTAGTTTTTGTGTGAAATTCACATTAATTATTTTGTTTATTAAAAACAGTATACAAAGGTGTCATCAGATTGTAACTTTTACTTGCTTATACCCTTGTACAAATTTTAAAATGAAAAATAAAAACCCTTGTACAAATTTTACATTCTAGCCTACGAAGTTAGCGAGCAATGGCTTGCTTCTCTGATTTATAAACCTCGCCATGCATTAAGAGATTTCTTGAATTCAGCATGTACTCTCATATAATTTTTTGAATTTATGGAATAAGCAAAGCATTTTAGCGGTGATTTTCTACCAAAGAAGTTATTCTTTAATGCCTTTTTTTTTATCTTTTTCTAAAAGATAATAATACCTTCACCCTCACAAATTAGTTGCTTCTTTAGAGATGGCCTCCATATTTAAGCATGTTTTTTAAAATGAAACATTGCAGGCTTCACCTGTTAACAATTTGCTTACATTTCTTGAAATTGAGAACTCCATCTATTGTGTTGAGCCAATCCAATAAACTTATTAACTTCGATTTTTTTTTGTGAGCTAAAATTTATTTCAATGTAGCAAAATGTACGTTACAATCATTACAATAAAACTAATCCACAAAGTGGTATTAGTCAAATAATGTTATGAAATAACAAGAAATGCGGATGTCCCTTAGTATTCCCAAGGGGATTAATTCATGATTTTATGGCTACATTATGTATAGGAGTTACAATGATAAATCTATTCATGTAGTGGAGAAACCGTTTCATAGGTTTCTTCATATTATTGTAGTAGTGGATGTTTAATAGGATTTATGTACCTTTAATCTTGTAGTGCCTATATATAGAGGTACATTGAGACCATTTGGGTGTACTTTTGTATCTTGTTGAAATATAAGGATATCATTCTCCTTTTCTCTATTTCTTTCTCTAATACTTCTTCAATTCCTATTGTAGTATTTTATTTTATTAGTTTTGCAACACGTTATCAGCACGAAAGCTCTACTTTTAAGCAAAAGGCGAAAACGGAAGCGCTACTTTGAACAAAAGTGAAGCACAAGATTTTGCCGAAATTCTGCCCGTATTTCTTCAAGTGATTTTTGAGATAAATTTCTAAGTCAAAAACTTATTTTAATTTCTTATGGCTAATCTTACGAAACAAGAGTTCGTATCTCTTGATATTTCTGGGAAAAATTATTTATCATGGGTATTGGATGTTAAAATCCATCTTGAGACAATGGGTCTTGGTAACACTATTGTTGAAAAAAATGAATCCTCAAACCAAGACCGTGCCAAAACTATGATTTTCCTTCGTCATCATTTAGATGAAGGATTAAAAATAGAGTATCTTACTATCAAAGATCCTCTTGTCCTTTGGCAAGATTTGAAAGAAAGATTCGACCACCTGAAATTGGTCGTTCTTCCAAAAGTCCGATATGATTGGCTTCACTTACGGCTGCAAGATTTTAAATCTGTCAATGAATATAATTCAGCCATGTTCAGAATCACTTCTCAATTATCATTATGTGGCGAAAAAGTCACTGATGAAGATATGTTAGAGAAAATATTTTCTACTTTTCATGTCTCTAACATGCTCCTGTAGCAGCAATATCGAGAGAAGGGATTTAAAAAATATTCTGAACTTATTGTGTGTCTTCTCTTGACTGAATAAAACAATGAATTGTTGCTGAAAAATCATGAGTCCCGACCAACTGGTGCAAGTCCATTCCCTGAAGCGAATGCGACCCAATTGCAAAATTTTGATCGAGATCGTGGACGTGGCGGTAGAGGTGGCCGTGGAGGAGGCCGTGGACGTGGCCGTGGCCATGGAGGAGACCGTGGACGTGGCCGTGGCCGTGGTAAATTTGTGCCCCGTGAAAATTTTAATCGTGGCAAACAACAAAATGTTTCTCAAAAGAGGGAAAATAACTACGATCAGAAAAATGGAGAAAAGAAAGTTTATGAAGAAAAATGCTACCAGTGTGGTTTGAAAGGTCATTGGTCCGTACCTGTCGTACGGCTGAGCATCTTGTTGACCTCTATCAAGCATCATTGAAAAAGAAAGACAAAGGTGTTGAGACAAATTTCATTGATCAAAAGAATGATTATGATGATGGTGATGATGCTGATATGACACATCTCGATGTTGCTTTTTTTGAGCATCCTGAAGATGTCAACAAATACCCCATGATTATTTAGATATTTTTATGATGCTTTATATCTTTCATGTAATTTTCTTTTATTGAATATTTATTTTCGCATCTTTATTAATATTTATTTTTGTTTAAAATTTTTTTCCTGAAGAAGAAATGGATGTCAAATATTTGGGATTAAATAATAGTGATGATGACATTTGTCTCATTAATAGTGCTACTACGCACACCATATTGAAAA